ACATGATTTCGTTGTAGAGGAGTTTCACTGTAATGCGTATGCTAACTAAAGTGCGTAATGCCCCGTCTTAACTGTCAGGCGCATTGTCCATTTGAAACAGATGAGTAACTTCGTCTGAATGGTAATGGTTAATTCTCCTCACAAAAAAACAGCAGATGATTGCTTTTTTATGACTGATAACTAACTCTATACAATCAGCTCTTAGTAACAACATTGAAATTGTGTTTTTATTATTATTATTATTATTAATTGTTAATTGTTATATAGATGCATAAAAAGTGCCAAACCTAAATGGATGGATATTATTGACACAAGTAGAATCAAAGAGCTCTCCAAAACAAGAAAAATAATTGCCTCTTTGTGTAATTGTGTAATGACTCTTATTCTCCTCTGTTGGACATGGTCAGACTGAACCACTCATTTCATTAATAGTATTACATTCAAAACATGTCAAATTTGTGGGTCAGGTAATTTGGGGCTAATTTATGAGAACAATCCAAAATGGATTTACAGGGTTTTGGAAAAAAGATCTTGCTGCTGAGCCCATTTGATTCTGTTACTACCTTTGTTGCCATTTAAAGCGGCAGCACCTTCGAATGCATCCAAATTCCATAAAGGGCGGAGTCTTAAAAACGGACTCTGAGATGTTGTAATGGAGCTTCCTGCTCAGTAGTAAATATGATGATCATTCTGCGGTAATTAGTGGTCCAGACACCTTTTCTCACTCTGCAGTGTTGTGTGCATCCATTTTTGTTCTTATGGGGAATTTCAGATTACCAGTAGTTAAGACCCTACCCCACTGAGCGGCGAACAATTACTTGTGTTTTCAACAATATCTGCATTGTGGAAACTTTTATATCTCAAACTTAAAAACCAAAACAGACAATATGTCAAAATATGAATAAAATCAGGGATTAAATGTATCCAACGTAACTATTTTCACTAATTGTCTAAAAAACATCCAGACCTTCAATCTTGAGGTGACAAACTGCTGCACGGCTCCCGAAGAGTTTTATGATACTCCTCAGACAGTTGAGGCACTCAAGAGAGTAAACAGATTTGCTCTCCAGCTATTTCCAACACTTTAAAGTAGTTAATAATACTTCATAAAACCAATTCCTGAACGCCGCACACATAGTTCAGTAGGTTTTAGTTGCAACGCCAAGTGTGTGGTGGGCCTAAGCCTCTTATAAACACCTCACCCCTATAGACGCTTCATCCTCTCGGGCAGTTGTGCGAATAGCGTTAAGGAAGACACTATCACAGATGCAAACCCTCGCGATCTTCCAGCAAGCCCATGAGGGTGAAATCAGTCAATCTCTCAACATCACAGACAACTAATTGATCTTAAAAATAACAACACGTCTCTCATTATCTGCATGTGTGCATATTTTTTCACCACACAGAGAATGCTCACTCACATCGTACAACTCTGCGGTGCCGTAAATTGTGAATTAGTGTGCCCGCACAATGTTAACGGCTGTCGGCGCCCTTTACTTATGCAATACATTGAAAAAAGTCAAAGCCCTCAGGCAGCCTGCTCATGCGCGAGTGTGCGACCCTCACGTGTCATAGAAGTATTTAGCCCAGTGTGAGTAATTGTAGCACAGAGATGCAGCGTGTAACTAGCCAATTCAGTATCTAGGCATGAGAATTGAATACAACTCTGTAAAGCCGACTCTTTATATCAAGCTTGCTCCAACTCCTTATCGATCATCAATTCCCATTGGCTACGGAAATGAAATGATACAACTGATAGACAGTTTATCATCGATATCAGGATCATTATTTAAATCTTTAATTGAGTCAATATGATAATACAAACCCTCGGGAGGATAAGCGGATTAGAAAATGGATGGATTATAACACAAGAGATGTTTTTGCTCGTGAGGATAAGCGGATTAGAAAATGGATGGATGATAACACAAGAGATGTTTTTGCGAAGTGCAGTGCGCCAAGGCCAAAACGTTACAATATATGCCGATGACTTTATATTGTATATCCTGACGGATCAATATTTTAGGTATAAAAACAATCAAATGGATGAAAGATAAATAAAAATAAAATAAACGACAAATACCTAGTGAAAAAATATCAATCCAAATATCTGGCAGTACAGTCCGTTTTCTAGGAACGTACACTGTTGTGCACGTAGTGTTACAGTATTTACTTGCACAACCATGCACAGTGAGCGGTGTTCAGGATGTATTAGCTGTTAGATTCAGAACCAAACCGAATAATGTTTTTGGATCCCAGAAATGCAGGCTTGGGCAAAATCCGACAACAAAAATATTTAGTTACAGAAAAGTGCACCGACAAACAGAAATCAGTGGTCACAAGGAGCCAGGAAAAACAATGCATTAACAAAAACACAGAGAATACACAAACAAAATGTCAAAAGTTCAATGACACGAAAACCAAACGTCAAGAGCAATAATAAAATAATGATAATGAAATAAGGATTACATTACTAACTACATTTTTAACAGGTAACTAGTAACTGCACCGGAATACATTTTAAAAGTTACCCTCCCAACCACGTTACCTTACCATGAAAAAAATCCGGTGTCGCATGCCATAATATATCCAAATAGTGGCCAAAAAAGGTACTCAAACAGCATCTTTATTTATTTCATCATTTTTTTCACAGGAAATGTTGACAATTTGTTTGAAGTGCATAAGGTTACCCTGGTGCTGGCCTAGGACAAGATTACTAACGCTACTATATTTCTTTAAACTACATTCCGTGCAACAGTGGGTTTGTTTGAAAGGCATTCACATAGGCCAAGGTTCCTTTGCCAGTCTAGACTATGTATGTACCTTTTGTAACCATAAACAATACTTACTTGTACCTAAGGGTTCAAAGGTGAACCCTTAGGAAGGTACATTACAAAAAGTTGGAACTTATCGAACAAAAAGGGACCTCTAGAGTACCCTTTTTTTCTTCTGACAGTGTGCTGTTGCACAGCTCTGTTACACATACACAATGCACAAATGTCATTGGAGAACAGCGTGCCATGAACAGTGTGCCCTGATCAATTTATGATCATTGACATGGGTTGATTAGTCATGCCTGGAGGGGGAGGCATGACAATGACAAAAGGGGAGAAAAGCAACAGTTGGTGGATTACCATCTCAGGTAGTAAGAGGAGCAAAAAAGCGGAATCCTCCGGCAAGCAAACAAAAGATTCCCAGGAATGCCATCACTGGGAATCGCTTCTTAAAAATGAATGTGATTTGATTCCCATCCCTTGTAGTAAGAAACACCCACGCACACACACACGCACACACATATTAAGGCCATGTTGTTATAATTCTGACAGGTGTGGGTGGTCGAGAATGACTGTTGACCAGCTAGCCTTGAGACTGCATAGAGTGCTTGTAGGACCTTTGTCAACCCTGAAGAAAACCACATGCCACTGAAGTCTGAAGTGAATGAGTCAGTGCTGATGACCACCAAATGATTACGTTGGGATTGTTATTTATTTCCCGTCCCGAGTCTGCTTGCGTATCCATCTGTCTACGGCGGCCGCGTCGCAAATGCGATTGGACATGGATTTCGTTGTCATCATCGCCCGTTCCCTCCCATCCTTCCTTTTCTTTCCCTTCTTCCCCACTGACTAATTAACACCTACCACCGGCTCGATCTGGCTTTGCAAACCCCCAAGGACGAGAGCTGGAATAAGAGACAAAGAGAGGGAAATAAAAATGCCAAGAAAGCAACGAGAGAAATCAAATTTTGCCTGAGTGATGCACGGATATACGGTGGAGTTGAACAGAAGTCTCCTCCGGCCAAATTAAAACAGATGTAGTGCTTAAATGTAAAAGCACCTAAACGTGAGAGTAACTAAACCAGTGTGAAGAATTTAAACATGCTTAATGAATTCACGTGGCACAAATGAAGCGTGCGTGTCTATGTTCGTGTGTGTCGGCCTCTAAAAACCATCTGTCTTCGAAACCCCATCGGGGACTTTCAGGACGACATCAAACGATGCCACTCAAGTGCATCTATGTGCATGTATATGTGAAGCACCAAAAAGATTGTTGTTCATTTTTATGACTTGTAGGCTCATGCAAATAAAGAAGCCTACACAGACCAGGGATGTCATAGTTTTGGATTTTTCATTACATCATTTGTTTTTTGAATTCAGTTCATTTTAATATGTTTTCAGAGCACATCAATTCATTTTTATTTAGGGGAAAAGGCTTCATCGTAGTTTAGTTTATTACGTTTAAGTATTAGTTGTAGTTCCCTCATATATGGCGTACAGCAGGGGTGCCCAACCTTTTGTGCAAGCACTTGATGTTTAATCCGTGTTTTTCTGGCTCTTCTGTTGCCAGCGACTTTTGTTTGTATTTTGTCGATACTCCATTTTTCTGTAAATAAACACTTTTGTTGAATCTTTTATCCCCGTCTACGTTTGTGGGATCTCAACATCATTTCAAACCATGATTTTTTTTTTCACGTGTTTTGTGAAATAGCACTGTCCCCTAAACGAATCTAACATGCGGGTTTGATGCACAATTTTAAACGACAGCATGAAGAAAATACACACATTCAAAGGGGTAGTTCAAATATTCAAGTCACAAATTTGCAAGTCCCACCAAACAGCCCTTGCGCGCGTTGCCGCATTAGAAGACGAGATTTATTACAAGTATTGATTACCCACAGACACCCGACATTACGCACACGCGCAAAGCACTGAGTCGACAATACACTGAAAAATGGCTGTTTATACCCACAACACTCCACATCCATTAATGACTATCGACTGCACGCACCCTCCAGCAGAAAGATGGACAGCAAAGAGCAGAATGCCACCATTCACTTCCTCAGGAAACTGCGCTGTATCCCCCTCCCAAAAAATATATAAAAATACATTTTTGAATGATTTGGTGCCCACAATGGACTGCTTTCAACACGAATCCAATCAGACGTACAACAAACACTTGAGATGATTTATGACTTAAACAAACAGTTTTGACGAGTTATGACTTACCTCCGCCTCCTCCCAGCAGAGTCTGGTTGGCTGAAACACAGACAAGGGAAACCAATTACCATTAATCGTCATACGAGTCCATTCATCAAAATAATCGCAAACAATCGTAGATCAAAGCATCTTTGGAGTTTAATAGTGCAAAAAAACTCTCAGGGGTCTGGATCTAAATTGTGTGTTTTACCAAATGCAAAAAAACCCCAAATGCAATATTTCATATTTATTTCCAAATTAGGATGGTTAAATTAGACTGGGGAAAGTCTATGCTCTGTTGACCCCGTTACAATTCCTGAAGCCTGTATCTCAGTGAGCGGTGCAGGTTTGCGAGTGTGTGCGCACATAGTGAATGTTGGGGGGGTTGTCAAGGTTCGTTCAAGGTTGCAAACGGTTGCAAAGATGTTTGAAAAAAAAATTTGAACTGAAAAAAAAATTTTAAACAATTTCCTGGCAACAAGAAAGGCTGTTTGTGACTGTTAAAACTGTTGCCGCACATCTGGTGTACATCTATGCGACCGTTAGTGACCTTGAACGAACTCTGACGATAAATCAACATTCAGGCCATGCGTAAACAATCACCGACCCTTGACACTCAGTGAGGTACGGCCTTTAAGCTGGATTTCCCATCATTTATTGAAGCAAGGCACTCATTTTACATTTTAAAAATGGCAAGGCACACCACCTGACAAAAATGTGACAAAAAAAATACACATTCTGAAATAATGTCATCTGAATTAATTCACAAATATACTTAATAAGGTCAAAATACATTTGTCAACTGAATTTCTCAAAGGGTAACAGTTGAAAAGTGTCTCGCCCAGCTTGTCGGTGAAATTCAGGTTTGTAAACCACTGTAATGACTAACAGATCCCTGCTGATGGCGCTGTTGTACCGCTTGGGATTTGAACTCAAAAAAGCTTCTGAAGAGAAGATAAAGATTGTAAGGGTGAATCTCAGCTTGTCACATCAGTTTTGAGGGAGTGAAACGTCAATATGCTGGGCGTCTGACAAGTTTAGGCACCTCACTTTCGTTCCGAGTGTATACAGCGTATGGTATGTGTTGCAGTCGGTAGCAGAAATCGCATGTCGCAATCATGAGAAAAGATGACGCTGTTAATGGAAACACCATGTAAATAAAGCCACACTCCACCCATGTGGTGAGCCAATGGTGGTCACGGCATGTTTCTTAGCTGGTTAACTGTACAGTTAAATGAATTATTTTGCCATCAAAAGCCTGTTCTCAGTCTTGTTTTCGTTGTTCGATAGCTTGAGGGATCACAAAAATCTCATCGTCAATGGCATGCGTGAGTGTTTTATTGTTTTAACATTTTAATTAACAGAGGGCAATTAGCCAAGCAATCGAAGAATAGGCAGCACATTCTGCTGCAGAATTCCTTGACAGTCTTGGGATTTTATTGCATTTTGTACAGATTCAAGACACCCTGTGCTGGATGTAGCAAAGCAGCCCCAGAACCGAACCGAGCCTCTTTCATGTTCAAGAGGTACAGCACAGGTTAAGTGATCGCGTTTTACAGCCCCAATTCTCAGAGTCCAGAATTCTGCTAGAACCCCCCCGCCCCCCGAACTCAACACAGCCACATAATTCAATCACCTGGCACTGCTTGTGTAATTCAGCGGCTAATAAGAATCAGCAGGCTCTTCGTCACATCACTGAGAAGCAAGGCGCAAAACGGCTGAAAAAGTTAATGAATGAAAAATCATGCTAGGCCTACTTGTCGAAAAAAAAAATAAACAACCGTAGCTGCAAAAGGCAAACCTTATTGTTCAGTTTCTCGAGTGGTCATAAAAATCTAAATAACATGAAGCCAATTTTGTCAATGACACAAGTAGTGCTTTTTCCAAGTAGGCCAATGACAGATTGAGGCCAGTTACCCCAGTGGCCAACGTACAGCATTATCCCCTTTCAAAGCAAGTCTATTCACATAGAGTGTAATTATCCGTCATTATAATGTGTTTACCAGCAGTTGTTTTGTGCTTCAAAAGACTCGCAGTAGCGCAGCCTCTACCAAAATCTTCCAATGCCTTGCTCGTAAATTAAATTTGATACGCTGTGACACTTAGAGACAAATGTTAAGTGGATAATCTCTCCACATGGGACGGTTAAGTGCAAACTCACAAGGGAGCTTCCTGGTTTGAGTCAACCTATGCCAGGAGGCCTCCTGCCAGTTGTGCATGACGCATCGGACTAGCTAGTTCAAAAGACAAAATCCCACAACTGTCTGCATTCATCAAGATTACTCCCTTCTTTATCATGTTCACCATCCCCCGACGCCTCATTAATTTTATTAACACTTCATTTTTTCACGCATCATGCTCAAGCGCTCTAATTTGCAGCTCGATTTGGTGGGAATGGACTGAATTTATTGTGACTGCGTGACAATACTCTATTTCAGGTCCAGTCTCGTCTGGAGCAGCCAGATCCAATGAAGCACAGCTCAATGTCATGTAAAGCATAAAGCCTCTCTATTTAGTGCACCATTCATCTCCTGATGACTAGCAAATGTAGGTGTACACACTTTTCCACAGGACGCTGAGACGAGAGGCGTTTTTTTTTTTTGTGTGCGTTTTTTGTGTGTGACAACATTAATGCAAAAGAATGTGAATTAACTGTAAATTTGTCATTATTGAGGTAAAATAAATAAAAATAAATAAAAAACGTGAATGAACAGTACATTTTGACAAATTAGGGTTCAATAAAAATGTCATTTGTCACATTGGTTGATAAATGAGGCATTTCACCGAATCGGTTTATTTGCTTGTCTTAAATCAAACTAAGATCATATTTTCTTTTTGTCTTTTTTCAACTCACAATCTGGTAATACACACATTGAACTACTAAAATGTGTTTGGGCCCATCTCAGGCACTTTTCATTGTCATTGTTGTATTGTGCTGAAACTCCTCACTTGAGTCACAAGACTAAAAATAACAGGAGTGTGTTTTTGGCATAAAATTAGCAAATAAATGCAACAAATCTACATGGCCTTTGGGCCATGTTGACACTCAATACATTATCGTGATTCAACCAAAAATGTATGTTCCAAGTAAATAATATGGGAAAAAATATGAATGGGCAGGGATTTTTTTTTGATTGAAATACATATACATAAAAATAAATGAGTGAACTTACTTTTGGCAATGCAACTTGACGAAAGTGTAAAGTTAAACTAAACCCATTTATTCATTTAAGAAAATAAACTTCAAGTATAATTGGGATAAGAAGAAACACAATTACAAAAAAAAAATACAATATTTCAAAAGGACTTTAAATATTGCATTACATGGCAATGTTGAAAGCTCTTGCATGAGCCTGATAATGATCCTGATCATTTGAATCAGGCATGTTGGAGGAGGGAAACATGCATTGAAAACATGCAGGACAGCGGCCCTCGAGGACTGCAGTTGCCCACCCTGCACTCACGTGAGCTTTTGTAAACATCGCATTAATTCCCATTAAATCCCATGTAACATTTCCTACTTTTACAATCAACACGCTCCATAAGAAACGTTTAAATATGTCTGTGGAATTACGTTTGATTGATTCCTCACCAAATTTGTCCAACAATGCCAGAGTAAGGAAAGAAACCACCCCTAAACAAAAAAATAATCAACATTGTATTTGAGTTCCTTCTCAAATGTATTTCTCAAAGCTTCGAAGCTTTATGAACGGCAATGTTGCCATGAGTGTCTAAGTCTGCAATCTCACAGTAAATCACGTGCCTTGATTCTGCAGCCTACACTTAGCTTGTAATTAGCAGAAAACCTAAAAGCATCATTGCGGTGACATGATGAAGCAACAATTACCTTCTAGTCAAAGTGGTGTGGATGGGAGAAGAATTTCCCACATAGTTGAATGCTGGCTACCGTTAGGGATTCTCTCATGTCATTTTTCTGACACCCACCGCCATTGAGCAATTAGAAACGTATCCGAGGTGAAGAGCTTTCAAGGACAAACAGCCTGAGGATTATTGGCATTTGTCTGGGACCCGGCAATGTGCAACATGCAGTCGTCTCACAAAAGAAAATCTGGAGATATGTGAAGTGCCAACTGAAGAGGAGGCGATGATGAAAAGATCGGAGCAGATTTTCCTCAATCAAAGCCAGAATCAATCTTTATGGCGTATTTGCAGTCATCAAATTCAGACGCAGCATTGAGCAATTCGGATGTGTTTCACGAAAGACAAACACACAATGATCGCAATATCATATGCTAAAAATGCCAACTTTAGTGTGACATCAGCTTTACAGTTGATCTTATTTCCTTGGAAAATCAACAATCAACTAATAGACTTCTACAAACAGTCTTTTATATTCACTCTCATGGATATATTCATTTCAAATATATTTACCCCAATTCAACTTTAAATGCTGGAGCAAATACCATGACTGATGCCACGTTCTTCTTCTTTCTACAACAAATTAGCTGAGAATGAACAGCACCTCTGCTGGTTACAGGAAAGTATTGCACTCTGTTGTGCTGAATCAGTTATCAGTTGTACACAATTGAATGATTTCTGAACTTGAAATTAAAATTGAAACTCGTCAATCAATCTGATCATCCAGTGTTTCTCAATGTGTGGTACGAGACCCAAAAGGGTGCGCAGGTTCTTTCTGGTGCTGAGTGAAAGAATCCGTGACCTAAATCCAGATGCAGTTTATTACATTGACATAAAAACTGTGGTGAAAAATGGTAAACTACATGAAAGGGTCAAGATATTAAAATGTTATATCCGAAAATATGTATATTGTTAAAGGTACAGTGTGTAAAATGCAATTGCCATCTAATGGTGAACGAATAGAATGAAATGACCTCAGCTCGAAGTGTGTGCATTTTGAAGCAGGCACACTACGGTGCCTCAGAGAGACCAAACTTCGCAAGCCTACCTCCGATTTCTTAAGCAGAGGTGCCAGCAAAGTAAGTAACATTATTTCTACACATTGTGCCTTTAAAATACTGTAATATCCTACCATCATTATATTACAAAGTACATACATTTTTTTAATTAGATTTTACTGG